TCTTGAAGAGAAACCAAGAGGGATGGGTGGAGCAGAACACCAACCTTCAGCTTCCCTCCAATTCCAACCATCAGTTTCCATGACGCTTAAGGGGAAACCTCAAGGAGCACCTATTTACTTGGTTGTTTCAGCATGTTTCAGGTATCTCTTAGTTGGTGGTGTGGATCGGTGGTTTGGATTTGGATTTGTGTAACCCCCAGGCTTCTGCAGAGGATAAATAGGAACTCCCTAAACCACCGGGCGAATAACCATTTTTTGCCCATGGCATCTCAGGGGTGTAGCTTAGAATGGCGCGCTACTTGTGCTTCCTTGCCCAGGCTTCCTCTTCATTTTCCCATAGCACAAAAAGGGCTCCCAAATCGTAGTGTCATTCTCAAAGACAACTCCGCGGTCGTGTGATTGATTCCCTATCTTGCAAGCAGACCGAGGAACCCGAGTTGCGCTTGGTTGTCTTGCATATCCAGGGCACGCATATAACCCGAAGCTCTGACTTGCCCAGTCATGGACTGGATGGAAGTGAGGGAATCGCGTGGCGTCGAGACTGTTCGTAAGTTTGCTGGTGCGTGCCATGTTGCACCACTTTCGGAGAGGGATGCACACCCGAAACTGACATGAAGCCAAGCGGATATATAGAGGATCCAACCAAGTCCAACCGCAAGTAGTTCTTACAGTATGTCATTGGACAAGTTCGGACATTGAAATTGAAAATGAAGGGATCCAGATGGCATGCTTCTGCATGCTTGCGTCCTATGCGCCAAAGAGAGCCGGGCGCTGCTCCTCCCAATTCAAAATTCCCACACGGACTGCTGGATATCTCGACTGAACCACACATATCCAAGATTTCTTTTGGCCACAGAATCACACGACTCGAGACTCTTGGCCCAGTTGCATTGTGGTAGGCGATGGCAAGGACGGAGTAAACGTCCTATTGGCCAACCCAAGCCGTTCAGTCCCGGCCCCGTTTTAGGTTACATGTCGATGGTGGTGACTTGCAAGCAGAACTTCAACTTGCATGCGGGAAAAATGTTTGACTTACCCTCATGCTTGAGGCAATCCATCTCCTGGCAAAGTCAGCACAAACTGGTGGCTTGTCCAACTTCCTACGTAAAGTGGCAATGAGCCACTGTTGCGTACACATCGACTTACTTGGCTTCAACAGTGTCACTGGAAGCCAACTACCCAATTTCGCAAACCACCCGAATTGCCCAATTGCCGCTGCCAAGGGACTTTGCCTTGAAGGGATGTGGGCAGTCCCGTATCTCCGAACTCGCGGGAAATTCGTGCCGAACGCGGGAGATCCGTGCCGAACGCGATGCAGCCATCTGTTGAGTTCTTTTGTATGTGGCCTGGCTGTATGGACCCCTTTCAAAGGCAGTTTGCAAGCATCCCTTCTGACCTGCTTCACAAATGGGCACCATGATACTCCAAGCGCAACATGTGTCTAAGAAACAAAGTCAATCCGGCAGCGGGATGTCGGGATTTCTTCGCATCCCGTCCTGCGATGTTCCTGCCAGACGTCGCAAGAGACCCAGTTGGGCGTGGCCAGTTGGACCCCTCCAAATCCGATTTATTGTCGTTCAAAACAGTCTTTCTGGGAAGGGCTAATTCCACAAATGAATGCCTCCCAGTACATGTGTCTGGAAAACCGGTTCCCTTCCGGGAATGTTCGAGTGGAGAAAATTGCCGGTGACGTCAGCTCTGAGACCTCTGAGACACTGAACGTGCACTCTTTGGAACTCATGGATGCGACTTCCACCAACAACTTTGAGGGGGCTCAATACAAATCGTATCGTCAAAAAACCTCACCCAGGAGCACTCACCCAAGATCAGCCCATGACCCGACTCAAGGGGGCTCTGATTTTTGGACCAGATCCGCTTCCTTCCTGCAAAGAGTACAGCCCGGAAGAGAAAAAAAGAGGGGGGAAAAAAAAAAAAAAAAAACGAAATTTGTCCTTTTGGTTTCCAACCAGACGTGCCGTCCAAATAGAGATCAGTCAGTTTGTGTCGCCCAAATAGTGACTTCGCTGGAACGTTTGCCCGCAGGAGCCAGACTTACAAGTCGACTTGTGACATTCTGTTGCCCCCAGCAAAAATATGCTTCTCCCAAGATAGAAAATAGGAAACCCTCACCAATGGCAGAGAGCGGTGTTGTTTTGGTTTCCATTCAAAAATCATCCCCCTGTTTTTGGACAAGTATCAAAGGGTCTCCTGAGAACTCAGGGAAACCAACATGAAAATCAGGTTATTGCAGAAAACAGCTGCATAAAAAGAAAACACAAACGAAGCCATTGTAGCATTGCTCCTGAGAACACCCCCCCCCCCACACACAATTGGATGTTGTGTTGATCAAAGCCATTTGTAGTCAAGGGTGTTTCAACACTGGGGTTAATTCGAGAAACAAACATGATGCAAAATGCCATATTCAAAGGTTCCAACTGGGCCAGGTGAGTCATACATAATCAAAACCCGGTATTCCCATGGTCTACCCAACACCATGCAAAAAAACAAATGAAAAGGCGGAATTCCACACCCATTTGTGGCTGGGATTTTCCCTTACCCTCCAATTACCCGGTGGCGGCGTTGAAACATTCCTACCATTTTCCAGGCGTGTCCTGGTTCGTTCATCCGCTTGTTCAGGAGGTCCAAGGCCGCCAGTGCATGCTGGCGGTCCGAACTGATCCGACCGTTGGGTCTGGTGCTGTTGCCTGGTTTTTTGCTTCTTGTTTTTTCTTTATTTTTTTGTTGGGGGGGAGGGGCATGGAAACCAGTTCTGGACAGAATCCCCACAATTTTGACGGAAACCCCATTGGGCATATCTCTTCTCAAGCCCGTCTGCTTAAAGGGACTACAACGAGCACGGTTGGGGCGTTCACCATTTTGAGACAATCCGATGCCCCCCGAAATGGCCCCTTATGAATGAACTTGAGACCCACGAAGCCCGAAGGGCCCCAACAAGGGACTGCGGATCAATAAAACTTAGCATATCAACAGGAAGGTGTTCTCGCAACAAGCGAAGAATCCCCAGCAATATGGGGCGCGCACTATGTACTGCACTAGGCTGGTTTCTTCCTGGGATATCATGTTGGCGGGTCGAAACGTATGTTTCCGAGGTGCGACTCCAATATGAAACTGCTCCAAAGCAACCAGCACCATCTCCCCTTGCGCGCAAGTATCGCTTTTCAAGGTGGCAAGGGCAAGAGTTCAACCTGAATCCATTGACAAATATCCCACTGAAGAACCCTCTTGTGAGCACCCTTTGCTGGATTGTCCTCTACCATCCAGGTTTTGGTTGGGACCGGCCACACGCGGCGCATAGGTGTGGATGGTTGCGAAAACCGTTTCGCACCACGAAATGAAACCATGGTTGAAACCACAAGGTTTGTTGGTTTTTACGTTGGGACATCGAATCATTCCGTTGGGTTTCTTAGGTGGTGCGAAATGGATTTCGTCCATGCACTGTAGGTGTCCTTTTTTGCTTACTTTGGCTCGAAATAGATGGGTTCCACTGGCTTAGATTGGTTTTATGCCATTCACCAGAGCAATCTAACCCATCATGGGAGGGACTTGGTCACGGCAGGCAAAGACAATTTTGTTAGCGGCATTTGAGTGGTGGTTTTTATTGTCTTCAAATTTGCATTGACGTATCAAACCCTTCCGCGAAACCTTCAACAATGTCCCTTCCGCGAGCTTCCGCCGGAAAATAACCTTCCGCAAACCTTCCGCGGCTGCAGTGTGGCACTACCTTTTTGGCTGATATGTCAACATCTATACATGTTTGCTTGAGTCTTCAGATTCTGAAGCAGTTGAACGTGTCTGATCGCAGATAGATGGGGAGTGAATTCGGCATATTAGGGTGACAATGCCGCTCGCGGGCCTCATTCTCATATTTAAATGTAATGCAATGCAATGCAGTGTAATGTATGTTTTCGTCTCTGGGTGGTGTGTGTTTGTGTTTGTGGGTGTGTGTGTGTGTGTGTGTCTCTCTCTCTTCCTCTGTCTGTCTGCCTGCCTGCCTGCCTGCCTGCCTACCTGCCTACCTGCCTGCCTACCTGTCTGTCTGACCGTCTGTATGTCTGTATGTCTCTGTCTGTCTGTCTGTCTGTCTGTCTGTCTGTCTGTTCTGTTCTGTTCTGTTCTGTTCTGTTCTGTTCTGTTCTGTTCTGTTTGTCTGTCTGTCTGTCTGTCTGTTCTGTCTGTCTGTCTGTCTGTCTGTCTGTCTGTCTGTCTGTCTGTCTGTCTGTCTGTCTGTCTGTCTGTCTGTCTGTCTGTCTGTCTGTCTGTCTGTCTGTCTGTCTGTCTGTCTGTCTGTCTGTCTGTCTGTCTGTCTGTCTGTCTGTCTGTCTGTCTGTCTGTCTGTCTGTCTGTCTGTCTGTCTGTCTGTCTGTCTGTCTGTCTGTCTCTGTCTGTCTGTCTGTCTCTCTCTCTCTCTCTGTGCCTGTGTGTGTGTGTGTTTGTGTTGGTGCCTCTCTCTCTCTCTCTCTATGTCTTTCTGTGTCTGAGTGTCTGTGCGTTGTTTGGTTTTTATTTCTTTGGCTTTTCGTTTCCACGTCGTTTTAGATACTGGAGTTTTTATCATGTCCTCGTCATATTTGTTTGCTGAGTTGTATTCTGTCGTGTGTTGTGTATTGGGCTTGCCTCCTGGTCCCTGTTTTCGCGCGGTTGGCGCCTTGTTGTTGTCCAATGAAATTGGGAGCAACAAGAGTGGCAAAACCAACAACATTGACAAAGCTGGGCTACGCCCACCGAACAGGAAATGCGTAAACCCACCCAAAGAAAGGAAAACACGTTTGCTGGCTCCATCCACCAAATCTGACACGTGGGTTACAGGGCAAAACCTGGCACCAATTTTGCGGCTGGCACCTGCAAAGCTTTGTCGTGCTTCTCCAGCTTTGAGAGAACCGCACACCTCAGGCCAACAGTGTGGCGGCTCAGATGATCGGAATGCCGCAACTTGACGCCCGAAGGAAGAATCCTACCGAACGCGGCCGTGGGTGAAATGGGAAACTGGCACTCAACCAACTCGGAGCAAACAACCTGAGGACTGGATGACCGGGAACCGCCCTACATATTTGCAGGTCGTGGCGAAAAATCAAAAAGCTGACGTGTGGACAAGCGCGGGTTCCCTCATGAAACCGCCAGCATCCAACCGAGTTTGTCGAGAATGTTTAGCTTCAACTCATGGCAACCCAATCCCCGACAGCCCCTCTCCCACTCAAAAGTCCGCGTCGCACAGAATTCACTTCCGCGAATATGGCTTCAAGCAGGTTCTTCCCTGGGGGGTGGGCTTTGCACGTCTCCAACCGCCACGTGGCAATGTCTTGCGAAGGTCGCGGCCAGGTTTGTGTGTGATGAAGCTGGCAACCAGCAAACAATCCCGGCAGAACTCGCTTCTAGTACCCTTGTAGATCAAGTCCTGCTCCCTACTTCCCACCAAAATGAAGTGTTTTGGGGATTTAGTGCTTGTTTGCTTTTTGATGCGCAGGAGAAAAACCAATTGGAGGTCCACAAGTTGGCAGAAAAAAAGCTCAAACTGAGCCTCCAGGAGCAAGGCAAACTGCCTGCTGGGACTGGCACAGGTTCAGATGGGTGCCCGCCAGAGTCACCTCGCTCAAGGAGCGGAGCTCGGACTCACCGAAAACTGAGCAAGAAGGTGGACCAAATGGGTATGGGTCAAAACTAAACCACCAGGGGACCGCAGGTTTTAGTCCTTCGTTCCATTTACCACGGTTCCATTTTGGGCACCTATTTTTGACCCAGAGCCAAATGGCCAGGAAGGTGGATGCTTCAGAGAAGGCGGATCTTGTGGGTCAGCCTCCTATTCTCGAAACCTTCCCGGGAGAGCTTCGAGTTGGATTCTTGGAAAATAACACGGTGGCAGCTTGGCTGTGAGCCAAAACGAACGTCTTCAGGCCCAAGGTCCAGGGGCCCTTTTAACAAAACTAAAGTGCGAAAGCTGGAACACAGGGTGCTGTTTTGGGTACTCCCGCTTTGAGACAAACACGAAAGGCAAGCACGTTCCTCTCATCGTGGGTGGTTCCCCTACAAGCCCATCCATCACCTTTTGCACCAGGAAATCAAAGAGTTGCCAAAGATCCGAGCGATTCGGATCATGCACTCAAGACTAGCTCTATCATTTGCCAGTCACCTTTTCATGATTCACACTCGGAGCTTCAATCCAAGGAATCACACGCAACGTCAAAACGAAACCTGAGTTGGCCATTTAACTACACTGGTGGCTCGAGAATCTTTCGAACTGCAAAAGGGGCAAAAGCCCAATACACGCTTCAGCGCCTCCTGGCAAATAATTCGGAAGCTTGAGAAAAGGAATCCTCAAGCAAGCCCAAGCTCGTGTACTTCAGATTTCGGTGAGTTTTGCTTAGTGTAGAACACACGGAAAGCGCGGCCCTTTCGGGCCGGCCGACTGGAGGAAAAGGCAATCGTCCCCCTCGGCTTTTCAAATAGAAAACCAGACACCCATATCAAGCGATACCTGTTGGAAGCCGAAAAAAACAAATTCTGGCCCTCATACCCAATGTAATCCTCTGTCAAAGGGAGGGGTCAGCAAAACGGACCAGAGCCGCCAAAATCCAGCGGTCAAACCCTCACGCTCTCGGACCCAGCCTCATCGGTTGACAACTCCACCTCCCAGCCAACGCAATTGCCAATGGAGCTGATTGGACCCTTTCCCTCTCAAAGGGACCCTCTGGTTGGTTCCATGCTAAAAGGCACAAATTTGGACCCCCCCCTTTCTGCGGCTGACAACCTGGGGGCGGCAGCCCACACATTCCTGGGAGCAGCCCAGGAAATCAGTCGAGAAGGCAACTGACCTTGCAAACCATTCGGGCGTGTGCGTTATTTGAGAATACCCCTTTTTGGTTTGTTTGAAAGGGAAGCCCAAAGGAAAAACGAGGCCATTTTCGCGGCTTCGAAGTCACCCTCTTTCCAAAAATTATCTTCAAACAGGAAGCCCCTATTGAGCTGGAGAAGCAAAAGAAACCCACCTCCTCCTGCTCGCGAAACTTGAGGCAACTTGGGAGTCCGCTGAAGCCGGTCGAAACGTGGGAATTCCACGTTCCAAACATCAGATTTGTAGATTGGATCAATCGAACCTACGTGCCATGCAACTCTCTCCAAATATGTGCAGGTCGCTTTTGCAACGATGCCCTACTTTAGAGTTGTTATCGAGGTCCACAAAAACTATCAGGCAACACTCTTGGGCGTTCCGGATCCCGGAACGTCCACTCCTGAGGAACAAAAGAAGAATGGAAGCCATAGGTGGCCTTTTGGAGAAATGGATGGCCCTGGTAAATGGAGGAAAACCCATCTAAACCAGTGGAAGCCATCTATTTGTGACCAAACTCACCTAGAAAGGACGCCTAGGACAGAAGCTCTTCGCGTCTCATGTTCTGTGAGGCCCTCGCGTGCCCCGCCTCCAGCTTCAGGGCCCGTCGCAAGTAGCTCAGCGCGCCGTGGAACTTGCCGACCTGTCGGCAAAAAAGCGCCGCACGATTGGAGCACGCAAAACAAGGCAGACACGTGGCACACCACGGGAAAGCGACGTTAAACGGAACAAGAAGGCTCAGTTGCACGCGCAAAACAAAAACGCGCCAGGCATGCCGGGTACATCAAATCCCCAAAAAAAAGAGCTGCTCCGTCTCGTGGTCAACCGAAGGCACGCACATCCGAATCATCGAGCCCTTTCGAATGAAACAGCTCTTGGAGCTGACTCGTGGACGGAACCTGTCAACTGAGTTCTGTCTCCACTTCACATAAAACAGTATACACGCGCTTCGCTAACAAAAAAGAGATTCTTCGGACTGCACTTAGCTAGACAAATATGAGTAGTTCTTGACCGTGCTTTTCTCACACGTGTCCTGAGGGAAGGAAGCGAGTGTTCCGCCCATAAAGAGGAGAACATGAGTCAATCAACACTCGAAGGAATCTCCTCAGTGGCCCACACGAGGTTTGCGAATAGGATTTGCACCAGGTTTGGCTTGCTTGGGTTGCCATTTAAGGTTTATCACGCTCAGGACCTTGAGACGATGCATCCGTTTTAGGGGCTGTGGGGAACAAGGCTTGCTCCTTGCAAATGAACCCCATAGGCGATTGCCATGTTGCTTGCCTTCAAAACAGCCCCACAAAAAGGAGGCACATTCGCGAAAAAAAGGCCACCAGCCCCGCCAGCCCCTACCTTCTTGTAGTAGCAGCCCAAGTTGTTGCAGGTTGTCGCCAGCAATGAGCTGCTGTCACCCTCGGCGCAGCTCGCGGTGGACCCGCTTGGGGAGCCAGTTCCTGGTGATATTCCTGTGTTCAAATCCATTAATTCTACTCGTTCTCCCAAAAGTGGAAACAACCGGGGAAAGGTCGTTCAAAAGACAAATGGCCGAAACTCCAAATTGGGAAATGAAATGAACCCTTGGCTGTTGATGGCAGTCAGCCCAATAGCTTCACACACTCGGTATGCGGGTGAGGATGCAGGCCCAAGCTCCACAGTCACGTTGTCCTGTTCATCCTTCTGTTGTCCCAACTCATTTTCCCCCGATCCCACGCCCTAGCCTACTTTCCACAATTTCTTCATAGGCAATCTGTTTTAGAGAGTCCCGTCGTTGGCCCGCGCACCAGCCAGCCATTTTTTTGCGCCAACACCGGCTTAGGCCACCAAGTCCCCTGCAGTCCAAACAAAAACAGCAAGCTGGCCAGAAACTGCAAATTGCTCACTACAGCTTGCCAAAAAACGGGTTTGACAAGCTCATCAGTGGCATTGGCATTTAAGGAGATAAGAGGGTAAATGGGAGAGGAGGAGAGAAGAACGGAGATTTATTGGGGCGCCAGGATAACTTCCAGAACCTAATCTTTGGAACGAACCACAAGTCCCAATTTCAAGAGTTGCAAGCTGCATCCCTTGGCCGACCTCAAGGTGTCCCATCACTAACCATAGATTTCCGTGTTTGCCATGAGTGTGTTTGGCAAGCCTGATCCTAAAGTGCTTTGTGGGCTTCCATTTGCTTCCCCCACCCTGGAAAAATAAATATATACCCAGTAGTAACTAATATAATCCCTTTACACCTACAAGGGCAAATAACAATCAAAAATGGAAGTAGCTTCTCTTTGGCCATAAGCCCCTCAGTGTCAACCCCACCCCCATGGCCTCCATCTGATTTGCCATCAGGATGGCCTCGTGCGCACGTCGCGCAGTCCCCCTTCCCCGAAGCTGTCAGTGAAAAACTCAAAGGCGGAGAGAGAGAAACCGCTTTTCCGAGATGCCCCCCGTTGTTTACCAGACTTGATGTGAACCTGGCTCGAGGCCATAATTACTGGGAGAGGGTCATTCTGAAGCACTCGTCTCGAGGACACTCATTTAAGCATTTTGGGGCTTCCCAGCAGACAGAATTAGCTCCCCCCGAGCGAGTGCCTCTCAGTAGGAAGAAGCTCCCTCGACATCAGCATGATTTCAGCAACAGGAGTCATAAACCCGCAGCACAACCTGATCCATGCACTCCATGACAACGGATGCACCAGGTCTATGGGAAGCTGGCATTGATTCCTGGTTCCGCAGCTCCTGTTCAAAAAGGGACCTTTCGAGAATACCAAGGAGGGATTCCCCCATCCCTACCCATTCTTGTCACCCCTACATATACAAATACACAACAATGCCTCTTCCTTTGTTTTCTCATTCCCCTGACCCAAGCCTCGGCATACTTGAACTGCTCGAACGCCGCTTTGAGATCCCCGGTCCGCAGGCGCTCCATGCCATCCTGGAAGGAAACCGGCGTCGCACGTCGCGGTGACCGAGGGGGAAAAAACTCCGTGCCTGTGGCGATGTGGCTGTGGGTCGAAATCCTTGACCCCCAGTGAATATCCCAATCCAACCACTAAAATAGGTTCTAAAATGAGTGGTGCACCGAAAACCCCCAAAATGGTACCATTGGTTTTGACCCACAGCCATGTATAGCTTCATTTCTTGATTCATGTACCCTCGCCCCACGTGCTCAGCAAAAGTCGCCCAGCCTTGTTGAGCCTCCAAGGCTGGCCAAGCAACTCTGGTATTTTGCGCGTCGTGCCTTGAAGAAGACTGAATATCTCATGTTCATGCCTGTGTGTGTGTGTGTGCGTGTGTGTGTGTGTGTGTGTGTGTGTGTGTGTGTGTGTGTGTGTGTGTGTGTGTGTGTGTGTGTGTGTGTGTGTGTGTGTGTGTGTGTGTGTGTGTGTGTGTGTGTGTGTGTGTGTGTGTGTGTGTGTGTGTGTGTGTGTGTGTGTGTGTGTGTGTGTGTGTGTGTGTGTGTGTGTGTGTGTGTGTGTGTGTGTGTGTGTGTGTGTGTGTGTGTGTGTGTGTGTGTGTGTGTGTGTGTGTGTGTGTGTGTGTGTGTGTGTGTGTGTGTGTGTGTGTGTGTGTGTGTGTGTGTGTGTGTGTGTGTGTGTGTGTGTGTGTGTGTGTGTGTGTGTGTGTGTGTGTGTGTGTGTGTGTGTGTGTGTGTGTGTGTGTGTGTGTGTGTGTGTGTGTGTGTGTGTGTGTGTGTGTGTGTGTGTGTGTGTGTGTGTGTGTGTGTGTGTGTGTGTGTGTGTGTGTGTGTGTGTGTGTGTGTGTGTGTGTGTGTGTGTGTGTGTGTGTGTGTGTGTGTGTGTGTGTGTGTGTGTGTGTGTGTGTGTGTGTGTGTGTGTGTGTGTGTGTGTGTGTGTGTGTGTGTGTGTGTGTGTGTGTGTGTGTGTGTGTGTGTGTGTGTGTGTGCGTGGCTCCGTGCGTAGGTGTGCGAGCGTCGTGCGTACAAACGTGCAAACATACAGACATACAGACATACAGACGTGCAGGCATACGCACGAACACACACACACACACACACACACACACACACCCACACCCACGCACGCACGCACGCACGCACGCACGCACCCACCCACCCACCCACACACACACACACACACACACACACACACACACACACACACACACACGCATCCACACACACACACACACGCACGCACGCACGCACGCACGCACGCACGCACGCACGCACGCACGCACGCACGCACGCACGCACGCATAGAAACATTCATACAGAAATACACACACTTAGAGTGTACAGTGGGCGCTGTTTGGAATCTGCCCAAAAATGTGCACTCGCAATACTCAAGAAAGTATTGGCAATAAGTCTGGTGTTGGCCCAACTCAAGCCTTCACCCAAACCTCACAAAGAGGAGCTTTTGACAGTTGGCATTGATTGTTTTTGGGGGATGAAATCGAAGCAGTCTGCTGGGGGTGAAGCTGCGGCGAGTTCTGTCCTTGTTGCAGGAGACAACCAAGGACTCCACATCGCCAAGCTGTATCTCTCCCTCAGGTTGCAAGGCGATCAATGGCACCAATCAAATCGCTGGATCAAAGCTACACATATTGCACCCATCAGAAATGTGTTTATGTCTCAAAACTAGGGCACCACCATGGCCCAAAAAGAGATCGACGTTCCCAAAACAAAACTTGAGCAGACTCATTGAATCAGTGGTGTCGCTGCTGGTCTCAGAAGGATTGGCGAAACAGGCTACTCTCAAAAGTGCAACAATGCCTAGATCGTCCCGGCCGCCAAAACCTTCTCTCCTTCCCCTTCCCCAGCCCTAGGCAAGTACATAACATTGAACCCCCAGATGTCTACGAAGTGGAAGGGTCTAGGATGTGCCTCAAATAATAGCACCCCCTTTCGGGAATGCTTATCTTCAACTCCATCCAGCACGGGTCAATGGCCCCACCCAAGCCCCCGGCCGGCGGCTCCACGGCCACTGCCATGGCTCAAATCTCGCCCATGTCTCACTTTGATCCGCCGGGCTGCGGCCCAGTCGATGCGTCGCACCTTGGAAGCGGCGCTTGCCTCGGCTCCAGCGGCTCTCGCAAGGTCTGGTAGAAGGAAAAATCCTTTCGTGGCGAAGGACCACTTCTGGCGTGAAAGCGGGCTTTCGTGGGGCAAGATTGGGGGGTCCTCTTAGCATTGGTTCAAACCCTCAGACCAGTTCCAAGAAAGAAAGGCACTGGCCAACCCTTCCTTTTCCAACTTGCTGAGCAAATGCGGCAATGCCCCTTGGCGAGAATTTGGGTGTCGCACCCTCCCTAACCTTTCCCCGGCGAAGGTCCCAAGCAAGTCACGTTTCCAGAGGAGTGGTTCATGTGCTTGGCCAAGCCTCTTTCTCCCGCCGTTCAGCGAGTGAAACGGAATTCGAGGTGAAACCGGTGACACGTTTCCTCACCGCACCAAAGCCATGGTTCCCAGGCTCGTGCTCCTCGTGTCCATCCCAACCTGCCAAATCAAAGCGGATGAAGGGAGTTCCAAGTTTGGTACTGCGCAAGCAACAAAACAGGTCACCAGAACGTGTACTGCCCACACTTGTCAACAAAAATCAGACAAAGAACTGTGCTACAGTGCTTCGAGAGCAATGAAAGCCCTTTGGTACACAACTGCTATAAGCATGACCTGACCTTGTGCAATTCAGCCCTTGAAATTGCTTTTCGATGGCCGCAGGCACTTCATACGGTCTCACACCAGCCGCTACAATGCTCCACTTGTCGCGAACATGCCGCACATGGCCCAAACATGCCGCGCCTTGAGGACAATGCGCCCGGTGCTTTCATCAATCTGGCGCTTCGCGCGGATGAACTTCCTGGCGAAGCAGGCCGAAACCGCAGGTGTTTCTGTGTGTGTGTGTGTCTTCATGCGGCACTGTGGGTGTGTGTGTGTGTGCGTGTGTGTCTGTGTGTGTGAGTCTGCGTGATGCCTATGTGTCTATGTCTATCTCTATGTGTCTCTGCGTGTCGCTATGTGTCTCTGTGTCTTTCGTGCCTCTAAGTCTATCTGTGTCTCTCCGTGTATCTCTGTGTGCCTCTGTGTGTCTCTCTCTCTCTGTGTCTGTGTCTGTCTGTGTCTCTGTCTATCTATGCGTGTGTAGCTATGCATGTGTCTAGTGTGGGTGTGTGTGTGTGTGTGGTGTCGCCGTGTGTCTCTGCGCCTCTGTGTGTGTGTGTATGTGTGTTTGTTTCTTTGTGTGATGTCACTCTGTGTGGCTCTACGTGTCTCTAAGTGTCCTTGTCAGTGTCCTTGTCTGTCTCTGTGTGTGTGGGTGTGTCAATGTGTCTGTATGCGTCTACATGTGTCTCCATGTGCGATTGCGTTCCTTTGTTTCTGTTTGAAGCCATCCCAAATGGGTTTGCTTTTTGAGACAAATCGACAAGGACCAGATTTGTGCGACCAGTTCATGAGAACCAACAAAATGGGGTCACTGTAACACGCTCAGAAAGAAGCGCTTCTTGTCCAATTCGGCCCATGCCTCGAGCTGTGTGCAAACAACGCGGCCACAGCAACTTCTGAGAAGTTGTTCAAGGAAGGAGTCTGCATCCCGATGTTGGTCAATCAAGAGAAAGTCGGTCCCAAAATGTCTGTGTCCGGCTATCTTCCAGCCTTCGGACGAAAGTGAACTGATTGTGGTGTGTTTGTGGGTTTATTGCTCCAGAGGAAGAATCTACATGAGCCCTATACGCCCATATCCCAAACAAGCCACGGACAAACGGATGAGGCTTCCTGTTGGATAGGACCCCCACTAACTTCATCAAGTCTGCACAATCTCCAGCAAGACAGGCCAGGTGCTCTGCGGAAAGACGTCGACCCGCGCTTTTTCAGCAGCCTTGCCGACTTCCTGCCGAGGTGCTTCCAAGGCCAACAGTTGACACTAACTCTGAATCTCTCCACGATCCAGAAACAAGCTCTGACAGTGCTGTAAACAGGGGGAGCAAGAAGAAAAATGTAACACAAAAGGCCAGCAGTTGGAACAAACAGACACGCCAAAAGGCTTCTTCCACAGGTACTTTTGAAATGGGGGAAGAGCCCAAAGCAAACATCCACTAACAAGATTCAGAGAAACGTAGCTATGACAACGGAGGAAAGTGCGGCATTCGGAGAAGGAAAAAACGGAAGGCTGCAACCACCCAGCGCTTGATTGCTGACCTGGAAAATCCAAAATGGCAATGAGGCAAAAATGTTGGTTGCGTTAGCTTTTTGCACGACCATCATTTCCCCCCTTGTGCCGCTTGCTGACCAAAAGTTTGATCCATCTATTTTGGGGACCAGGGCGTGCACCCAGACCGATATACATATAGTTCGCTTACGAGCAAGTCCCAGCGCCCATTCGCACGGAGCCCTGAGGGGAGCCTAGCCCGGGACCCGCGTTGTTCTCGTCGGGGGTGGCCTTTGAGGGGGTCCGGGAAGCGGTCAACCACTTTCACCCAAACAGATTCTGGTTCTCTTTTGCGACTCCAGCTGGAAATGATTATGCATCCAGGACTGCAAAGATCTTGGCCGATGGTGACCGTTGGCCCTTTTGAGTCATGGCGATCTGCCATGTACCACTTGATCGCACGTGAGTAGATCATTTGAGCTCCTTGCTAGAGGCACAACTACGGGATTCGGGATGCACAGTGCGGCCGTGGAGAAAGTCGTTTAAAGTTCGTTCAATGCCTGCAATCACCGGCTTCAACTGTGCTTTCATTGCTTAAATATCAACTCTTTCAGGTGTCCCGTTGGAGAAGTTGGATCGTTTTCGCATCTTCCCAGTTTGGAAGCTGACCCTGCCCACCCCCAGCCCATCGCGCCTTCCGGTTCAGGGTGACATGCTCCTTGAGGGTCTTAGCACCTGCGGGAAAAGGTGGATTGACACCTCCAACAAAGAAAGTTCTAGCCTCCCACCAAGTAACATGGAACCTGACGCTCGGGGGGGTCCTGGTTTGGACCATTCTCCTTTTAAAGGGGCCCCGGACGTCACGTTCCGTGGGAGGCTAGCACTTTTAGAGGCCTTTCCAAACGTTTGGTTTCAGAGGTCTTGAAAGGACTCTGCCTGGCGATCCCTTACCAGTCGAACAAAAGTTCTGCTAGATGGAAACCCTTTTTTCCTCACCCATGAACATCATGGAAGCAGAATCTACGCAAAGGAGAAAAAAAGGCCGAACTTGAAGTCCCAAACATAGCAACCAGCACCCATTCGCCAACATTCAGTTCTGATCCAAGGATCTTAATGTCCGAAAGAATCACTTGCTCAGAACCCTTCTGACGTGCTCACTTGACGATCCCGCATATGGCTACAGAGGAATTTGCGCCCCCGGTCCCCTTTGGAGGCCGTCGGATTTTGCTTCGCCTTCCAAACGCAGAGCTTCGGTCCGGTGCTTCACCTCGGAGGCGATCCGTTCCAAAGCTTCGGAGTCTTGGGGGAAAAAGACCAGAGACATCAACCTGAAATGGCTAGCCCAGCGTCGTTGACGCTCAAATGATGCTTGGTGACTGAACGTCAACCAATTGGTGAGGTTGCCGCCTTGAGATCTCTCTGTGTATGTTGCGCATAGCGTGGACCATAGCAGACTTCAACTTGGAAACGTTTATCCACTCCCCTACACAAACCTGAGGAAAAGTGCTCCACCGTTCTTTTCGGAAAGTCACAGCATATTGGAACTGGCATATCTTGGCTCGAAGCACCGACATACCTGACCAGGTGACCAGATGTGATGTTGCGAGGCTTCTCAATTTGGACTAGGGACGATGGACGAATCCTGATATTTACGTGAATCTCTGAGCCCATGGCGAAGAACGAAACCGGTTCTCTGGTAGCCCATCGCAAGTCGGCCATATTAGCTCTTGGCCAAATGCACAGAATATCCGCCGACATTGCTCGGCGTGTCGGACACCTAAGAGAGGATAGAGGATAACCCCCCCCCCCAACCCCCCCCCCCACCCGACGTCTGATACTGGGGGGGGGGCCCCCCCCCCCCAAGGACCGCGCGGCAATTTGATGACGTTCCGTAGTCTTCGGGGACCGGCGCAATTCGAATGACGCTTCCCATCCTTCGGGGACCCGGTGTCGCAAAACAGGGGTCCCAGGCTCGATTCCCCCTGCCGGCTTTTTTGCTGGCTTGGGCTTCCTGCATCCTTTTGCCGAAAATCTGGAAAAACTCTGTGTTTTTGGACATCATCTTTGCGAAAACGCTGGAAAAACAGTGTTTTTTGCGGGAAATACTGGGGAGCAAAGGGGAAGTGCAAGGATACATACATACATACAGACATACATACAGACAGACAGACATACAGACATACATACATACATTACATTACACAACATCACATTACATTACTTTAAATTACATCACATTACATACATACATACATACATACATTACATTACATTTACATTACATTACATTACATTACATTACATTACATTACATACATACATTACATACATTACATACATTACATACATTACATTACATTACATTACATTACATTGCATACATGCATACATGCATTACATACATACATTACATACATGCAGGCATGCATACATACCTACCTACCTACCATACATACATACATACATACATACATACATACATACATACATACATACATACATACATACATACATACATACATACATACATACATACATACATACATTACATTACATTACATACATACATACATTACATTACATTACATACATACATACATTACATTACATTACATACATACATACATTACATTACATACATACATACATACATACATACATACATACATACATACATACATACATACATACATACATACATACATACATTACATACATTACATTACATTACATTACATTACATTACATTACATTACATTACATTACATTACATTACATTACATTACATACATACATTACATTACATACATTACACACATGCATACATGCAATACATACATACATACATGCATGCATGCATGCATGCATACATACATACCTACCTACCTACCTACACATACATACATACATACATACATACATTACATTACATTACATTACATTACATTACATTACATTACATTACATTACATTACATTACATTACATTACATTACATTACATTACATTACATTACATTACATTACATTACATTACATTACATTATTACATTACATTACATTACATTATTACATTACATTACATTACATTACATTACATTACATTACATTACATTACATTACATTACATTACATTACATACATACATACATACATACATACATACATACATACATACATACATACATACATACATACATACATTACATTACATTACATTACATTACATTACATTACATTACATTACATTACATTACATTACATTACATTACATTACATTACATTACATTACATTACATTACATTACATTACATTACATTACATTACATACATACATACATACATACATACATTACATACATACATACATACATACATACATACATACATACATACATACATACATACATACATACATACATACATACATACATACATACATACATACATACATACATACATACATACATACATACATACATACATACATACATACATACATACATACATACATACATACATACATACATACATACATACATACATACATACATACATACATACATACATACATACATACATACATACATACATACATACATACATACATACATACATACATACATACATACATACATACATACATACATACATACATACATACATACATACATACATACATACATACATACATACATACATACATACATACATACATACATACATACATACATACATACATACATACATACATACATACATACATACATACATACATACATACATACATACATACATACATACATACATACATACATACATACATTACATACATACATACATACATACATACATACATACATACATACATACATACATACATACATACATACATACATACATACATACATACATACGAGAGAGGGAGATTGGGGAGAGAGTGGCTTGGGGGGATGGGGAGGATGGGGAGCGGAGGGAGGGAGAGAGGACGACAGAACACACCAGGGAGACAAGGGAGAGAGGAAGAAGGAGAAAAGGGAGAGGACAATGTCGGCGGACTGAGCCGGAGGCTCTAAAGTTTAGTACTCAGAGCGGTGCGCGGGGTAGCAGTTACCTGTTGTTTCTCTTTTTTGGGATTTCTGAAATGGCAACTTGCCTCTTGGACTTTCCTCGAACTAAAAAGAGGGGATGTTGTGGTGGGCCTTCCTTGTTTCCCCAAAAAGGGTTCTTCCTAGACAAAGAGGGCCCTTTTGTTGCTTTTGGTGGGCTTACCGAGGTTGGAGTTTCTGCCCGAATCTGACTGAAAGGCTATAGTCCAATCGCTGGAAGCTGCTTGACGCTGGCAAAGACTTTCTAGAAAGCTAGAAGTTGGTCGACAACGAGCAGTCGGTATGTCATAGGAAGCACCGGCCCGTTGACAACTCGCAGAGCCCACCGGACCTCTCCGTTGGCCCTCCTGAATGCCTCTTGAAGAACTCCAAACCACGAGGTCGTCGCAACCAAGAGTCAGGATTCAGGATTGCCTTACAAATTGCCTTTGAACCGCCCAGGTTTTTGGGGTGGACAAATGCAAAAGGCGGGGCGCGGCCTTTCCCGCCGTTTCCAGCCACGGCGTCACCCGTTGTTCCGACACCACAACCCCCCGCCCGGGCTCGGCTTCCGGCCACCGCGTCCTGGTCCCCGGCGAAGTCCGCGCGGCGCAGGTCCTCGTAGAGTCGATGGATGCGCCTCCAACGAAGTCAGTGGGCGACTGTTGGGATCGGTGCCAAAACGGAGGGCCGGGTGCGGGGGGGAGGGGGGAATGGCCTGGGTGGGGGGGGATGGCATGGCCGGGGGATTGGCAATCCGAGTCAGCCTTGCTGGTTTCTTCAAAATGCTGGGAGGGGAATTGGCAAGGCGAGTCCTAGGGTCTCTGAAGAGATATGTTCGTACCGTGTGGATAGTTGGTAAATCCAGAATTGGCACCAGTCAGAAACCTTGGAATGATAGGATTCCCCAACGTAAATTCTAGTAAAGAATAGAAATATGATTTCAAAGTGATGCAGGAATTCGTCCATCCACAGTATGGCTCAAAAAAGGTGTGGCTCAAAAAAGACATGGCCTTTGTAGAAACAAACGTGTGTGAGCATACGTGACTATATACCATGAATAAACATTTAACAAGAATGCTGAAGTGTGCATGTGCATGCATTGAGCATAAGCGTGCATGTTTAGCGTGCATGTTTGCAGAATGACATGTGTTTATACGTATATATGTGCATGGTGTGTGTTTCCCGGTAACGGAACATATGTATATATGCACATATAAAATGTTGTGCTTAAGTGAGCCTGTACGCTTCGTTCTGGAAATGTGCCCACCATGGGTCGGTACATAAAGTAAGTCTGTGTGTGTGTGTGTGTATTCCAATGACAACATGCATAAAGATACACTAATTTGCGTGTGTGTGTGTGTGTGTGTGCATTGTATGTACGTGTATATATATATATATACATATATGTGGGTGGAGAGATCCTTTGGCAACACCTTGGCTTCTCATTCACCAGCCCTGGCGAATGACAAAGCCATTGGTCCCAGGAATACTCTCTCCCGGGCTAGCATGGAAGCTCTCAAGACCCCCTTCGGAAGACTGGGTTCCATGTACAGAGGCCAATTGGGGGAGTTTCCAGCTGTTAGTCTGAGGGAGCGTAGCCTTCGCCCTTTTTTCCTTAAGTGAAGAATCTATCAGAAAGAACGCACTGACACAGTAGGATTGCACCTCCCATCCGGTTTTGGATCCAAAACTCCCAACACCGGCCGTGGTTGGAGAAAGCCTGTCTAGGTACTCGTCATCAAAGCGAGGCCATGCCAGCTTCCTGTCATGTCGGACCCGCCAAAATAACAAGCCCTTGCGTGTCTGAAAATAAGCCTCGCAAAGAAAAAGTAACTCCACTGGAAAATCAGGGAGTCAGCCAAAGGCTGGCTTTTGCTTTTCGGTTCGTAACCCAAAAAGGGCACCCTTCGAGAGGTGTGCCATGAGGCTCCAGCCAAAAGTCTTGAGCCGAACCGCGAAGTCGTGCTGTCACACCCCCGGGGGGGGGTCGGGGGGAGGGTGGCCCCTTTATGGGAACCCTTACCTCACGTCCTTCATGATTGTCTATGTTCCCTTCAAACGGTCCAGCCACACAAACTTGTTTTCACCCTACGGATGCCTCCCTTACCTGATCACAACATGTCAGCAGCTCATGGCCAGAAATGGTCAAAATCGTGGCACGATTGTGCCCTTTTGGAAGCAAAAGCTCCCTATCTGCCAATTCACTATGAACCCCTGATGAATCAAACAACTTTTCCGGCCACGAGTTCGATGCCACATCACCAGCAAAGCACAAGCAACACCTGCTTCACGTGGCAGTGCAGTCCCCGAATAGCGCAAGTGAACCAATCGTATCCAAACTCGGTAAGATGAGCAAAGCAGAGCCATTCTTCCCCCTACTTGCGCTGTGTTTTGTTGGCATCCACCGCAAAAGCCAAAAAAGGCCGCCCACACCACGGAACTGCGTGAGTGCGGCAAACAGGCCAGCGCAACAACAGCAGATCCACGACCTCCGTTGCCGGCATAGTCGCCTGCTGGACTTTCTGGAGGACCCGCCCGTGGCGACAGCACAGGCATCGAACATGTCGTCTTACCCCTGACGTTTGGTCTGGGGCCAACAGGTGGCCATGGGTCAAAAGCCAAATCGTACCCCCAGTGAAAATCCGATTCAATCCAACCACTAAAATAGGTTCTAAAATGGGTGGTGAATTCGCCTACCCCAAAATGGTACCATTGGCTTTGACCCACAGCCAGGTGGTTCGGAGGTGTGGTTGGGTGTGGTTAGGGGCACCTTCCGACTGCCTGGTGACATCGACAGCCGACCCAAGGTGATGGACCAAGGGCCTGTAGGTGTTCACAGTTCTGTTGACTTTAAAGAGCATTGAAGGCACATATGGCTGTGGCTCAAAAAACCGGTACCAAAATGGCACCCCAGTAAGTGGAAACATGGACCAAAACCTGCGTAACCCCTCCTGTTTAAATTTGAGCCACACCCATATTATGAGAAAGGAGGATCTTACGGGTTAATTCGTCTTCTCCAGTCGTGGCACGAAGATTCGTGACTAAGAGCCTGGCTGTGGCCAAGTTTTGCACAGTCACTGGAAGGAGGGGCCTCATGGAAAGAACACCTCCAAAAGCAAAACAATCACTCGCCTCCTCTGTCATGGTTCCAAATGCAACATTGAATGACAGGACGCCTGTCTGACTCAAATCCCAAGGCAAAACAATGAGAAGCCAACGAGAAGTGGCTTGAAGTGAATAGCAACCGACCTCTGTTCACCCTATTGCAGCCATCAAACTCCCTAAGCGTACCAAAAAGAATCCACACACACACACCAACATGGAAGCGCCCTCACCGACACATCACATCGGGCAAACACCGGTCCTTCAGGAGAGTCCCACAATGACTGCTCCATAAATTGCACAACCGCCCCCCAAAAACAAAGCAATCACGCCCTTCTTTCATGCCCGGGTTGTGGGCAAGCGCCATGGGAAATAGAGAAAACCCCTTCTGTGGCTTTTGGAAAGGGAGACCAAATGCAAACACCCATTTGGGGGAGGCATTTTTAGAGACACCCATATGGCTACCTCCTCTTTTTTGAGGGTAATCCATTTTTGTGTTTTTTGGAGATCAAAAAGAAACCAACCTCCTTATATGTATATATATATATATATGTATAGAGAGATTGCTTTTTTGGGGAAGCTCACCGAGCGAGGAAGAAAAAAAAACGACACACCCAGTAGCTCCTGCAGGACGGGCACCCTCCCCGGCTCGCCGACCCCCGGCTCCCCCAGAGCCCTGCCGCGGGGTCATCTCTCAGCTTCTCCAGGGGATGCGGCACGGCCGTCACCTGGCCATGGGTCAAAATCCAAAGCCCGCACCCCCAGTGAACATCCGATTCAATCCAACCACTAAAATAGGAAGCCTAAAATGGGTTGTGAATTCACCTACCCCAAAATGGTACCATTGGTTTTGAACCACACCCACCTTGCTTCTTGGCGAAACGTGGACACCAAAACTGAAGGACCCCAAGAACCCCTCCCCCCCCCGGTTGAAGGACACGCTCACGCGACAATACGACAGAATGCTGTGACTTGGCACTGCATGCCTTTTTTCACACTGACAGCCTCTCTTTATATACACGTGGAAGCATGTCACGTGCGCGTTGCAGCACCTTGTGGAAGATCACCAACATTAGCATTATGCTGTGCTGCTTCATTTCAACATGCCGTTCAAAAGAAACTGGGAAGCCCAAATCTCGACCTTCAGGTCCCAAAAAACAAGCCCAGCTGACAGACTCGTCTGCTGAAGGTCCAACTAGCAGAGAGGAAATCAGCTGCTCTCCGGCAAAAGCCAGGAAGCCAAACGGACATGCCTCTACTTTGTCGCACCGAGGCTGGGGTCCTGTCAATCATCATCACTTTCACAAAGGGATCCTTGAATTTGGGGGGGGGAGTCTCTGAGCCCCCCCCCCCCTGAAAGGGGACCCCCCGACCCCCCAAATCTTAAAAAAAGAAAACCTGAATAAAAAAATAATAACAAATAATATGAAAATAAATATATATTTTTTTTTAAAAAAAAAAAAAAAAAAAAAAAAAAAAAAAAAAAAAAAAAAAAAAAAAAAAAAAAAAAAAAAAAAAAAAAAAAAGTAGACCATACTTGGAGCTGTGTGTTGGCACCGGCTCCGCCTGGATCTTCTCGCTGTGCAGTCGCAGGCTCCGTGCCAGGGCCGACATGTCCTGGGCGGTGTCCTGGGCACCGTCAAGCCCTTGGGGCCTGGAGAAGAGCGAGACCAACGCCTTGAGAACTCAGCAAGGCATGAGAAAGGGAGAATTGTCCATTTCTCATGGTTCCCGCTTGTTTCCAACGCGCTGAAAAATCTTGACTCTAGCATTTGCCCTTTTCTTTAACATAGTCCTATCATATTCCGAGTGTATGTTCTTCAGGTAACATGGCCATGGGTCAAAATCCAAAGCCCGTACCCCAGTGAACATCCCAATCCAACCACTAAAGTAGGTTCTAAAATGGGTGGTGAATTCACCTACCCCAAAATGGTATCCCCTATGAGCTATCCCCGAGTTGGTCTCTTTCAAACAAATCCCCAAAACCGGTTCATTCCTTCAGCATACCCCACCAAAACGTGAAAGCAACCAGAAGGGAGCCCAGCATCTGGATGGACCAAAAAAACAAAGGAAGCACTCCTTTGGTTTCCCTTGCAATACCAAGCAGCTGAGGCTCGGCTGACACCGATGCCCCCCCCCCCCGGTGAATCCCTTCCCCAAACTGCGGTCCAGATGCCCCTAAAGGAAATTGATGTGTCCGCAAAAGTAGCCAGAGACATAAACCGAAGAAATAGCATGCTTGCAGCGCAAAATGGAAACCCGAAAAGCTGTGTACAAACCTTGGCCCTCTAAAGCAAAGCAGACCAAAATGTGTTACGACCCAAATATGTACCCAAAAAAGAGGATCAACATTCAAACGGGACAAACATGAACCTGGACGGGAAAAAAAGGAGCTGCTGGCAAAGGGCTCTGTCCCTGCAATACTGGCTCCTGGGCCAACAGCTCAGCCACCCTCCCTTGTCGCTCAAGCGGGCCCAAACCCAAACTCATGTGTTGGGCACGACTTGTTTCGCGACCATCTTCAGAGTAGTGCGTGCTCTGTTTCTCAGATGTCTTTCCAAAGACATAGACCCAGCCGTGCATATGCGAGAGACTGCCGGCGGGACAGAGCTATTCCTTTCTTGTAGCCTGCTCTCGTCTATAGAATGGGATCAGACAGCAGGGAGAGCGAGAAAATGGGTCCACCATGAATATGTCTCATTTATGTTGTACTTCAAGGTCTACCGGTGGAGCCGTCCACACCTATGGTTTTCCACTGCAGAGCAGAGTGCTTTTGCGTTTCCATTCGAAGAGCGACCTTGAATTTCCGCGAGTTGCCAAAAAAACACAAGTCTTCTGCCCATGGCAAGCCACCCTGCTTCTGGCCCCTCCCCCAAGCTCCAACACCCAGGACAGGCGAAGGGGACCGTTGCAGGTATCCAGTCCCAGAGACAAGCTTGGTGCTCAGTGGGGGAATGCCCCAGAGTGTCAGAAATGAACCTAGGGATTCCCTGAAAGGAAGCCACAGGGGATGATTTACAAGGGTAGTTCCCTCATTTCCTGCTGAAGCAAGCGAAAGGAAATTGGATTCCAAGCCCTCTCCCCCCTCAATTCCATGAACTGGCTGCCCAAAACATGAACCTGTTGCATCCTGTAGGTGCCACGTGCACCGCTTTCCTGTCCTCTGCTCAAGGAACCCAAACACAGATTTCCAGAGGAAGCTCCTACCCTTCTTGGAGATTTCAAAACTTTCACGGGATTTGCGTGATCCTTTCAGACCAAGATCGACCCAAAGTCAGCTTCCTTCCAATTGGTGGTTGGGATTGGTAATTTGGTAGTTCAGGAGGGGGGGTTCCGCCACCCTCTACAAGAACCAGGGCTTCAAATCCGTATCCAAACCACCAATCCAAAAAGGGCTTTGAAACCAGATCTCTCTGGTTTCAAGCAAAAAAACAACACCAGTCAGACCATCCAACCCCATCCAACCGGGTTGCGTCTCACAAAAACACCCGCCATTTGCCGCTCTCTTTCGCGCCCGCAACCCGCTCTCCGCGCCCGGCGACCCGGCGACCCGGCGACCCGGCGCCCGCGCCCCACCCGCGCTCCGCGCCCACCGCCGCCCGCCTGCCTGCCACAAGTTCTCCTCGAAGACTTGGGCATCTGCCAGGCGCCGCCCCCCGAGGCCCTCGGAGGCGAAGAGCCTCGCCAGGGACTCCACCTGACGCGGCCGGGGTGGGCCGACCGCGAGCGAGAGCTTTCGCGTGGAAAAGGAGGGAAACCTCGGTGTCCTTTTGGGCAAACTGATTTCCCCCTGGGCCTTCTACTTGTTTTCAGCAAAACAACCAAAAAAGGACACCTATGGAGAGAAAGGTAGCCTTAAAAACTGCTTTCACATGAGGCTATGGGCTTTTCAAAACCCCAAATCGTACCCCCAGTGAACATCCCAATCCAACCACTAAAATAGGTTCTAAAATGGGTGGTGAATTCACCTACCCCAAAATGGTACCATTGGTGTTGACCTACCCCCTCAAAACCGTTCGATGTCAAAAGAAAGTACTGCTGGTTTCAGGGCCATTTTCAACGAAGACCCCCCCCCCCGTCGAACGGTTCCGCGTGAAAAGGGTGGGAAGAGTGGAGGGTATCCGAAAAGGTAAACACCTAGGCCCTTTTGGAGAAGCCGTAGCGCAAACCAAGAAGGTTGTTGAAATGATGAAGACCTCGAAGTTACTCAAAGTTTGGGCTTGATTCCTCCAGGTTCGTCCCGGTCAACCTTTAAAGCCACTTGAGACAAACCCATGTGAGCCCCGAGAGGGAAAAGAACTTGGGCCAAAAGAAACTGAGCCAAAAGAACTGCCAAAAAAATTCAAGTAAGACGTAGCCCAAAGACTGCCACGCATGAAACAGAGATGCCTGGAGCCTTCGTGGGTGGATAAGGTCGCAACAACCCGTCCTTGGAAACTGATAGCGATTGAAAGCCGACCTGTTGAGGAAGTCCCATTTTCCTGGATTGGCCCACGGAAACTCAGTGGATTGCCCGGAATATTGCACGCAAAGATGCGGCAATGTGTGGCAAGCCGCAGAATTGCCCTTGCTCCCTTTCTTGCAGTATCTTGGGCATCCGCCGCTTGTTGCACCAGAACAGATCAATCGTCTAGCGTTTTGGGATTTTACAGGGATCAAATTGTTGATTGATGCGGATTGGGACCATTGTGATAGAAGCCCGCCCAACTTTGACGGCTAAACTGTAGAGGGTATCTCAAAATTCACACAAGTCGCACTTTCCCTGGGTTGGAACGCGATGACCACACACCTTCGCCAAATTCCGACCCCAGCGACCAAGAAAAGTCAAACCGCTAACTTGACCCCAGAAGAATCCCCAAAAAAAGACCGGCACCTCTCAAAAATAAGCGAAAACCGAAATCCCACAAAGATTGACACCTCTCACAAAAAAAGGAAAACCTCACATCCTCCGCCTGTAAAAAGGAGACCACCCGAAACGCAGCGCAGCAAACCTCCCCGGCCTCCGCGCGGGAAAGCTGCTCTTGGGGCACCTTCTGCATCGCCAGCGGCCGCATCTCCGCAATCTCCCAGGCCGTCGGCCTGATAAAAACCCACCGTGGCTCCGTGGCATCCGGTTCTTTAGTTTTTTTGTTTTTTAGCTTCTTAGTAGTTGGTTTTCCGTTTAGCCCACTCAAAGTTAGTCACTTTTAGCGGGGAATCTGAGGACAGCTACTCGGTTTAGCAGATGCTTGATTCATTTACAGAGGTGTCTGCAGCAGTTTGGAGCCGGTTCGGGGCGGCGCAAACCTTCCCCCCCCCCCCCCGCCCAACAGTCCTTCAGGTTCTACAGTATATGAGGCCAAAAACGTCAAGAGTAGAACAGCTGTAAAAGTCCTTGGTCAAGCTTCTCTGACCAAAGCTCTCTAGGAATCTTCTTCCACCCAGCAAAGTTGGGCATCGCATGACTGGCAAGACAGCTGCGTCACCTGCTCAAAACCCGGTACTAAAATGGTTGACCCAGAACCATGTAAGGAAATACGAAGGCGGCCGCAACTATTTATGGCTGGGATTGTCCCTTACTAATCTTCATCTACCCAGGTTTTGATTGTGGCTCAGCTGAACCAATCACAGCCGGGACGTCAAGCAGCCAGTTCGCCCAGCGCGCACAGTGCCTCGTCAGCTCGTGGTGTACTTTTCTCCTGGCGTCTCGAGTCGCCCCCAAGTACCATGCAGCAACTCACTAACCTTGGCTGGCCGGGGCTGCATATATCTGCAAATGTTTGCTATCCAAAAGCTCAAATTCAGGAACCCCCAAGTCAAGGAACAAATGCATCATGGCTTTCGGGCGTGACGCCCCCGGATCGGCGAGCTCGCTATAAAATTGGCAGAAATATCTGGGCATATGCCTTCAGCCAACTGGTGCCATAAACCAGCCACAGGAAGTGCAACTGAACATTGATGGGTGGGCTCTCTCGGTTTGCTGAGCTTGCCGCACCTGGCCGAAAGCGGTAGAAAAAACAGGTGTAACACGCAAGTGCACATCAAATAATGAGAATCACCCTCTGCCTCCCGTCCCAGCCTCCTGCAGAGGGGACCGGCGTGGGATGCAACTGGAAGTGATTGGAATCAATGATGGCTGAAGCACGCCGAAAGCATAAAAAATGGATTCCCAGAACCGGTCCCGAGACCGGTCCCAGGACCGGTCCTGGGACCAGTCCTGGGACCAGTCCTGGGACCGGTCCTGAGTGGCGCTGGGACCGCTTCGGATGATTGCAGTCAGCCAAAACCGGTTGCAGGACCGGTTCCAGGTTTGGTCCCAGGACCAGTCCTGGGACCGGTCCCAGGATCGAGCCCTGGTGTGACCGCTGGTATCGGATCCCACTTCAAACCGCTGCAGAAACCCGGTGCCACCTCAAACAGCTCCAGACACCTGTTTCCTCCAGTGTCGCTGTTTCCGGACTGGCACCCGTGTTTCAGGACCGGACAAGTCCCAGTCCCTCCCTGCGACCGGTTGAGGGGCACCGACGGCCTTGTTTCTAGGACCAGCTCAACGTGACTTGGGCGCGAGCCGGCCGTGCGGTCATTGACGGACGAGCTGCCGTCTGTCTGACTTTTCCGCCAATCCTTGTGGTAGTAGAGGATCCCTGGATCTAATCTGCAAGAGAGTCCAATACGTCGAGTCAAACCGCGCCAGACTCAGACCAGCCTGGACAGGGTCCCAAGTCCCGGTCCCTGCCGGCGACCGGTCCAGGGCCACTAGGGCCACTGTCGCCGGGGCAGTTTCGGGAGGGCCAGTTTCAGGGCGACCCGGGACAGGCGACTGCTCCCGGGCCAACTCGAAGTGACTTGGGCGCAAGCCGGCCCAAGCGGCAATTAACGGACTAGCTGCCATATTTCTGACTTTTCCGTTAATCCTTGTTTGTGGTCGTAGAAAATCTTCTAAGTGGTCCCTGGGTTTGCGGACGTGTTTCAGGACCGGTCCTTGTGACTTTTCCCTTAATGCGCCGAGGGTCGGCGGCAGCAGGCGGGAGCCTGGTTAATAATGAGAATAATGATAATAGCAACAAATCATGCCAATATCATGATAATCGTAGTAGTCACACTTTGAAACCAAAGCTTGGCACTCACGGGCGCTGTGTTGATGTACTGATAATTTCGGCACGGCCTCTAACAGTTACTCTTTACAGCCCCCCCCGCACCCCGTCCACCCCTTCCCAAGCCGTTCGCCCTGCCCGCACCCCTTCGCGCGCCCCCCGCCCCTTCCTCCACCTCTTCCCACCCATTCCCAGACCCTGCGCACCCCTTCCCAAATCGTTTGGTGTGACTCATACAAGGTTGCTGCTGTGCGCATTCTAGGCCAGACATCTTTGGGGGGGGTTCGTGGCTCTTCGGAACATGTGTTTTGGAAGACCGGAAGGAGTGCGGAAGACTGCGGGCAGCGTGTGTCAACAACACCCAAAGAGCTGACATATACCGTATCAAGAGGGGGTCAACTTTCTGTTAGAGGCTACCCCTAACTGGCAACGGTACGGTGCAACACATGTGTGAAAACTCGTGAGCTATATTTCACCACTACGCAGGTCTTGCGGACCATTCAGAAGAGGCGTTGTCGCAACATGCCCTTCTTGCCCTCCATCAATCGTTGCAAAGGAGCACCGACAAAGCGCGGGGTACATCGTAAAAGATTGATGTTGAACGCTGACACTTGTTTGATTCATGTGGAGAAAAAGAAGAAAAACACACAAACAAAACCAAAACAAAAACATTCCAAGACAGAGGGGCGCCCGCCAGTTTCTCCCCTGGTTCACCCCCCGCTTCGGCCGCTCGGCCGCTCGGCCTGGGGTCGCTCCATCTCTCCCTGTTCGCCTTGAAGACTTTGCAGTCCGGCGGCATCAACTGGCGCGGAGAACTTTTGTGCCCGTTTCAGGGGGAACGCCAGGGACTCCCGAAAGAGGGGACCTGAAGCAGAAGGTGTCGTCATGAGGGCTGAGTTTTTCAGATTCCTGAGGGCTGAGTTTTTTTCATCACCTGAAAATGGTCCCCAAAAGAAACCCTGGCCCCTTCTTAGCCCCGATTTGTGGCTTTTAGCCCCAATTGGGATTGGGCGAGGGCGCTATCGGTGGGTCTCCTCTTGTTTAAACAAAGATTTATATATCTTTATATGTGTGGGTGTGCCCCCTTTTGAGGGTACCCCCTTTTTGGTGGTTGCAAAGGGAAACCAAAAGGAAAGCCAGTATTTTTGGGGTACCCTCCAAAAAAAGACGCACCCAGAAATGCCTTTTCCCTTTTGAGGCTCGGTGCCAGTCATGGGTCCAAACGAAACCTGTCAACAAGCCAATCTTCGGCAACCACACCCCACCCAACCAACCAGCAAGCCAACCAATCAAACCAACCAACCACCAACCAGCCAGCTAGCCAACCAAACCAAACTAAACCAAACCAAACCAAACCAAGCAATTTCCAGCTGTGAGCCGGTCCTCTGGCGCCACGCGGATGCTCCGGCTCAGCAGCGCCTCTTCATCCTTCCTTCGATCGTCGCGTTGGTGTTGGCCCCGCCCTTGAAACATGTCAACGCGTGGCGCAAAGAAAATGGTGCAAGATTGGTGTTTAGGGCTTGGCGCATTGTTGTCCCTTGTGCTTTTTCTGGCCGAAGACCATCGCTGTCCGACCCTTCCGCTTCCCGTTGCTTTACTAATTGAGGAACCCTTGCCTCGAAGAAAGGGCTGATTGTTAGAGCCATTCCCTCTGAAGCGAATGGGAATCTGCGCATGCGGTCGAATGATGGAGTCCCGAGTCAGAGTGCAGCCGCCCAGCTCCCATCATACACAAATGATGGCCGGCCTGGCAAAACGACCAACCTTGGTGCTTGCTTGTTTCATGCAAATTCTCCTTGCTTCTGCCTTGACGCGTGGCCGTGGGCTTGTCTCAAGATTGGCAAACAACATGTGGTTAGCCCTTGGTTTCCTTCAACAACAACCCAAACATGGCACCTCAAAAAACGTCACACCCAAATGACTCCGCAGGCATGTCCTTCTTCTCTCCTGGATGTTCTTGGCTTCCACGATGCATTGCCTGCACAGCCGACCCGACACCTCGGGTCAGCATTTCCAGCGGCTCATGTACAGAAGGGGTCGAGACTCAGGAAGGTGGACCTTCTGTGTCCACCAAGTGGTTTTCTGCTTGGAACCATCATAAGGATTTTCTTATGCGGCCTCCAACAAGTTTTTGAGGGTATTCCAGCCATATCTCAACCATGTCTCATATAGCAATAACCCCCGCAAGCCCAGGCCAACAGAAAGACTCTGCCGTGCCCGGAAATGGCACGGTAAGTCTTTGACAAATGACAGGCGGGCTCAGACAGAACGATTTGAGGCGATTTGTATTTCACCTTCCAACAGGTAGTCAATCCTATGGCCCCAAAGGAGGCCTATTCGCCCCCCAGATTGCCCTTGACAACCGTAGGGTTCAAGGGAAAACCTGCGACTCGGCCTCTCAAGGAGCGAGAACTGGTGCTGCTTTGGCTTCACCTTCTCCGCCCGGGCGGACACCTAGAAGGGTGCTTTCGGCAACCGCCGGAACGAACCCGCCCGGTGTGGCCGCGGGGGGGGGGGGGGGGGCTGTGGCAGTTGAGTTCCGCTCGGGCTGCGAACTGACCAGACTCGCGTTCGAAAGATCCACTACTCTTTGGGGCACGTGACAGGTTGCTCTCGACTCCTTTCTTGTACGACGAATTATATTTATGTGTCCATTCGGACCTATTCAAGCAGGCAGCATGCTTGTACTTTCGCGGATACTCTATCAAGAATAGTATCGCAGTTTACCGGGGTTTGGTTTGTTGTATGGTTGATTCACTTGCAATCTAGGGATGCAATTTTCGAATTCCATCTCTTTGAAGACAAGAAGGGGTGAATGCCACGCAATTCACATTTCCCACAAGGGGCATGGGAAAAGAGTGGCCCTGCCTGACATTTGTGTGGTGAATTTGGTGGTCCCTCTGCATCCTCCCCAAATTCACAATAGAGCCACGGAAGAACAAACAATGTCAAACGCTGTACACGTTGGGGAACCAGATGCAAGGGTGGTGCTTCTCAATGGTTGCAAAGTCGGCTACATTCCCAGGCAGAATCTCTTGGTTGACCCGAAATCCTTCAGTAAGTTCAAAACAATATAAGTGCAAATAGATGAAGACAAAAAACAAAGCAAATGTTTGTTTCCAGTCAGTGGGAACCAACTATTGAATGGTCAAGAAGCATTGCGGCTTCTTACGACACACTCCTCAAAGTGATCTGGTTCTGCGTGGGGATAACTGTTTCTCTGCAAAAGCAGATCAAGAGCACTGCGATCGTCTGGAAAAACCAACAGCGACATCAGTTTCAGAGAATCAAGTTTGCTCCGTTCAAGTCAAGAGTGCAAACAAAAAGCAGAAGCATGTGCGAAACCCCACGTGGGGATGAAATATATACATAGATATTACATATGTATTAATATTAATATATGCATACATGTATATTGTAAAATATAATATAACTATACAAAAAAAGGAAAATGAAACATAATAAGAACAATACAGAAAAAGTTGCAAGAGTGATCCAAAAAGCTGAATCCCACTTCCCAGCGCCTTGTCCAGATTGGGCACCACCTCGTCCGCACGCACCCGCTCCGCATGTTTCACGGAGTGCTGGTCCAAGACCTCCACCTGTCGCGAGTCGCGCGGACCGAAAGTCGAACACTGCGAGAGGGGGTCACTTCAGGAAATTTAGTCTTCCAGGAAGGTTCCTGTCAGGTTCCATGTTAGTTACGTTAGTTGTGAGCTAAAAGTCGAAGACTGGTTGCCCCCTGGAAGAGTTCCATGTTTGTGAGCTAAAAGTCGAAAAAACTGGTTGTCGGCAGATGGGCCGAACATCTTCTCATACTATGGGCTGTGAAGGCTTAACTTTTATTCGGTCAAATGGAAACCCCAACCGCACACCAAAAATCTGAGCTGGGGGAACTGGGAACTGCCAAGAGGTTAGGTGAATTCAAAAATGGCCAGTCCGCCTTAGAGGCAGACCTTGTCCCTGTCCCTTGTAAGTCACCCTCTCATGTTTTTCTCACGTTTTGGGGAAGGGACTGTCAAATTTCGGCGGCTCAATCCCACGTGTAGTGTCCAACTAAGTGGCATTGTGCCAATGTAAGCCTGAATCAGTTCCTAGGACATTGATTTTTATGTCAGCATTTTCCAGAACCAGTCCAGTTTCCTCTCGAGGACGTCCGACATGCTCTGCAAACTAACAGTCTGAGGAACGTCACCCAATAAAACAAAATGTCAACCCAGAATAAGGAGCCTCTATGAAATACATGCTATGCTATCATTGGTCAGCTCAAAAAGCAAGAGTGTGTTGCATTTCCCCAGGCCACACAATGCCAAAAATTAGTCCTGGTTGAAGGCGCTGGTCCGATGGGGGTTGGCGGGTGCAAACGACAATTGATAGGGGAGGCTTTGTGTACAAAACATGGCTTGTCGCATGGTCCTCATTGACCCGAGTTGCGCACGTCGATGAAGTTTGCAAGCGCCGAAAGATCGGGGACAAAGGCAACTAGGCATTTGTTGAATATTCTTAGGCACGTCCAGATGAGTGTTCCCAAAATATGTGACCGCCTTTCGGATCTGACCGCACCCCCCCGAAAGTAAGCTCCATTGGGCATAGCATTTGAGCCATGGTCAACACTCCCTACAAATGGCCTTTGCTCATAGTTCCCTAGGAATCATTATAATGGTCATGTTTCGGATCCTACCAGGTGTATCACCATCCCAGAGAAAGCCCAAGCAAAGAAACCGAAACCTTCGAACGCACATTTCTTGGAACACCAAAGAGACTCGTGGCTTCCGACGCAAAGCAGTCGCCTGGGGAAGCTGGTAGATCAGCCGCAGCCGGTAGTCTGGCTCCTCGGCCACCTTGGCACGTTCCAAACGCAGTCGAAACCCGAGTCTGCCCAAAACCTGTGTCTGGGCTGTCCGGGCGGTCAGAGCGCCTAAAAGTCGAAAACTGTTCGTGGTTTAGTGAAAACTACAGGGCTAAAAAACTACGGGAACGGCTCGGAACCACCAAGGCAAAGAACCAGAGCGTCCGAAACGATTTGTGGCGCGAACAGTCTCCGAAGCGGCACTGGTCCGGGTGTTTCAGCAAGAGCGGCTGAGTTGTTGATATGGATGAAACGTGGGCAGGTGGGTTTCCTAACGGGAACCCTGGCTTGAAATCATATGGATTACAAAGCAAACCGCAACACTGCCTGAGGCAAAACAAGACGGCACGAAATTCGATGGGCTTTTAGAACACCGCGAAAATGGACCGGCAGACTCTAAGTGGAGATGGAGACCCAAATTCGTGCATGCATGCGTGCGTGCTGACTAGGTTCAAGCGCTCTGACTCCAAATCCTTGACAAATCAATAGCAAGTATCTTGGAACCCCTGTTCGAGCAGTCTTATCTTCGAGTTCCAAACGACATCTTTGGATGAGGAGCAAGTGCTCTCTTCAGAGGCAGGTCCCTCCACATGCTTTTCGACGAAGAAACTATCAACCAATTCCGGCACCAGAAATGTCGATGTGATGCCAGAGGCAGCCTTGCCTCACTTGCAACCAAAGGATCTGGAAATAAAGAATGATAACTGAACCTTTAGGATTGTCGTGATAGGAAAAAGGTCAGATCCGGTCGATTCCCTCATGTGAGAGACTTCTGGCAGTAGAATTTGGACTCACTTTGAGATGGCCCCCTCCATTCATTCTGGTTGATGGACAGCTGTGAGAAGTATGCCCCCCTTTTTGGAACCCATTACCTCCTTATGTGTCTTCAAACGAGTCCGCCCGCAAGTGAAACGGAACCCAAGAGGGGCTTTCCCTACAAAAGTGTCAACTTGGAGAGAGCCCCTGATTTCCAGAATCCGATGTCCCCGTTACACCCCGGCCGCCCGAGAACGAAGCCGGGTTGTCGAAGAGGTCCAACTTCTTCAGAAAGGCGAACCTGGCGGCAACTCGACGGCCGCAGGTCCACAGCTTCATGGTTGACCCCTTACGAAAAGTTGTGTTTTCCCTGGCAATTGGCATTTTCCCTTCAAGTCTCACAAGTCCCCAAATGACCCAGACAATTGAGGCTAGAAAAATCGATATTGTTTTCACCCAAGTAAAGAGAGTCCACTCTGCGCTTTCAAGACGCGCCGACGCGCCGACGCGCCGACGCGCCGACGCGCCGACGCGCCGCGCCTGGAGAGCAGGGCCAGCTGCTTGTCCAGGTTCCGCAGCTGGTTGCCGCTGGCCAGCAGCACCTAATCCATGTGGCTTGGAGGACCCTCCGGACGCCAGAAAATAGAGTCAGATTCATGGCAGCATCCAACCCCGGTTCCTTTTGCTCCAGCAATGCTAAAATCAAGTGGAAGCCAGCAAAACTGAAACAAATGAAAACTCCACTTTGACCTCAGCAACAGGCTTGCAATTCTAAACCAAATCCCCCAACAGGTTTTCCGAGAAGGGGATTATACAAAGTGCAAACATAAGCAAGGTGGCCGGCTGGGAAAAACAAGCCCAGGCATTCCAAGCATCTCAAAGCACGCCTCCCACAATGCCCTGGCTAGTTGCTTAGTATCTTTGGGTTTGTCCGCGGGGTGCCGCAAGGTCCCCTTTTGGATCCCACAAATTGCATTTCAATACAACAACAGGAACAAACAACGTTAAGGAAATCCTGGTACCCCCTGCACCACTGCAGGCAGAATGTGAATGGTGCAGGGGGTCACCCACCATTAGTAACTGGAAGCCCGACCCCAACATTGAAAGTGCATTGGTTCAATGAAATCCCAAAGAAAAAAGCAAACATTCAACGAGGAACATTTGGAAACCAAAAACAATAAACCAGCCAAGAAAGTCCACAGCCAACATTGGACAACCAGCTGTCAAGCCAAAAAGGAGCACTTTGGCTCAGGGACTGTCTCGGACTAGTTGAAAAAGCATCGCGCTCCAGCGCATCAAAGCCAACACGGCATGACTTCCTTCTTGTCTTCGGCGCACAACAGCTCTCCCCAGGAGATGACGTGCTACACACGGCAAGCAAACAAAAAAACCGGGTCAATGTTTGATGATCAAGTGCGACAAGCTTCAATCAACACTTCCCACCGCCAACATTCAGCAGTCCACATCTTCAACCAGCATTTGGTCGTCATCAATCGGCCAACACTCCATGTGCCTTCTATATATATATATACATACATACATACACATTTAAAATATATATATATATATGTATACATATATATATATATATATATAATATATATATATATATATGTGTGTCTATAACATATGTCTATAATATATGTATATATGCCTATCATTCAACGGCCCAATGCTGGCGGCTGGCCCTCAGGAACTTGAAGCTCCGCAAGCCGGCCAAGGACACCAGGCGGTTCTTCTGCAGGTAGATCTGGCGGGTCCCCGTCCAGTTCCGGTTCTGGGAACTGCCCGGCGCCCGGCGGGCTGCCCGTTCTCCGGTGTCCGAACAGCGAAAAGCGACGAGCCTTGAGAGGGTGAAATTCGGAAACTGCCACTAAACACTAAAAAGCTCAAAGGCGAAGGGGATGGCCGGGAGCCACCAAGTGTTGGTTGCTTTGTTGGGTCCCCTTTTGGTGGGGCGGTCCCCCCTTGGTTCTCCTTTTGGGGTGGGTCCCTGACCCGTGAGATGTTTTGAAGTGACAAGTGACTTGTATCAAATTTCCCCCCATCCAAACCCCCACGCGCGCCACTATTGACAGCGCAGTGGAAGAAGAAAGTGCTTTAAAATCCAGGAAGTGCAAATTGACCGCGCAAGGTTTGCCGAAATGTGTGACAGAAGTGCGCTCTCTCGCTCTCGCTGCCACCCGGTTCAAATTTACAACATCGAAGGCGATCCCTTTGCAGTCTTTAGGTGCTGTAGTGTGGTGCCATACTAAAAACTGGCCCTTTATGGACTGTGGCTGTGACCCTTGCTTTCGCCATGACCCGCAATGTGAATGTTGAAACTGAGTCCTCTGCGACCGTTCGATGTGTTTCAAGCTCGCCTGTGAAGCTTCGTTAGCGTAACCTTGCTTTTCCAGAGCCATCTCGCAGAGAACAATACGTTATGTGAGCCACGGGCGATATGCGCAGCTGACGTGATAGTAATGACGTGAAAATACCCATATTATTGGAGATATGTGTCATCCAAAAGCTCAGGGTGTCCAACGCGTTTGGCACTCCGACTTTTAGAGAGTGCAGCACCATGTATATATATATATATATATACATATATATATATATATATCCGACTGCACGTGACAAATGGCAGCGCCTTTTGTTTCTCAATGTGGTTGGCTTTCAAGACAAACCAAAAGAAAATCAGCAATCTTGGCAAAACCCTTTTTAAGAGACAAACTTGAATAGAGACCACCCTCACGCTCTGGAAGCAGGCGCACAAGCACTAGGGTCACTAAGGTGTGCACCAGTCTATCCACTGAAAGCATGGAATTGGATTCTGCATCTTCCAGGGCTGCTTTAGACATGTCTCATCCCCCTTTCAGAGCTTTCAGAGAGGTCGAACAAGTTCAGCAATTCCACATCCCGTCCTCCGAAATGACCCATGCCCCAGTCACAAGAACACGGCGATTTCGCCCATGGATCGACTCCTCAAGGCCACTTGGGCCGCGATTCGGCATCGACTTGAGGACCGTCGGCTCCCTTTAGGATTTCCTTGGGCAGCTGGGGACTCCCTCCGGAACAGCAAGCGCATATGAGAATGGGTCAAAACAAAACCACCAGGAATCGGCGCAGGTTTGAGTCTTGGTCTTCATTTCCCGATCGGCTTCCATTCTGGGGTTAGACCTTGTTTTTTTGCCCCACACCCCTTTTGGCCCAGGTGAAACCTGACAGGCCTCTCTGATCCGAAAGTTGCTCTCCAGGTTCTCCACACGGGAGAGCTGATTCCCTTGCAGCCTCCGCCGGAAAACAGCTGACCGGACTCCGCTCGACTCCCGTGGGAGGGACCGCGCGCTCACAGGAAAAAGCAAACCGTCAAAGCTCCAGCCGAGTCAGCGTTCTTTTCAAGAACCGGCGCCGTTTTTTCGCTGGGCTTCCAGAGGTGTCACCCAAAGGATCCCTGGAAAGAATGGACATGGAAGGTATCCCTGGAAAAGTCGCCGCTTGAAACACTCCTGGCTGGCAACTGGCATGGAGGGGAACACATCCGAGAGCAAAAGTCAGTTGTGGCCTTGTTGGCGCAAGAAGCTCTCGCTACCTTGAAAGAGTTGTGAGTGCGAAAACATGGAGGGCAATAACGCCGGGCATGGTTTTCTAGAGTAGGGCTGCACGTCCCCTTGAGTTGCTGAGAATGCTTGTTTGAGCGGGTTGCTGCAGGCGCGATCAACAAACGCACCCAACGTGGCACGTTGTTCTTTCTACTCTTCAGGGCTAGATAAACATGTGTCACATCCTGTGCCAGCGAGAAACACTAGACAGCTGCATTGTTCGAATCAAAGCCTGAATGGTTTTGCTTGCTGCTTTCGGCACGTGCGCAACGGATGTGCTCAAAATGGGGGGGGGGGATCCCGAAAATTGGCTCCATTTGAAACAGGAGCCAGACCCATTTCTATCGCCCCCCCCCCCCGCCCCCAAATTGGAACCAAATGATTCCACACCCCTAACCACCTGAGCCCCCTCTCCCATATAACCCATAGGGATCCCCGGCCAAACCACCTCCAAGTTCCCGAAGTGCTCAAAGTCCTTCGAGATCGCGTCCGCCCCCAGGTTGGCCAAATGGACCTGCAGAAAAACCACGTCGGAATGGAAATCCAGTCGCGTTGGCAAGCTGCACCTTGTCCCCCATGGGTCAAGCCTAGCAAACCAGGGTAGTGGCACAGCTGGCACAGCTCTTCTAGCCTTTTCGGCGGAGTCGCTCATTCCCAATCTATCACTCCGATGCCAGCCACCTGTTCGCTGCCCTCTCCCGAAAGTTCCCTGTCAGTCTGTTCCTCCCCTTTCAGTCTTTGGAAAAGTCAACCTTCGGCTTCGGAAAAGCAAAGGCTAAGGACTCAACCAATTCCAGTGGACTTCTATCCTTGGAAAACACGTGTGGACTTTTCCCATCGTTGGGAATGACCCGCCTCTGTGCATTCCGAGGCGTACTTCCGGTTCTTCTTCACAATGCATTGGTAGGGATCTAGCACCTCAAGGCACCGTGCACGCGGGCTCGAAGCTGTCGCCGGAAGAGTGAGCCAAAAGCCACTGGCTTTGGAGACAGGGAATGGATCCTCCCCTTGGGGTCGCAAGCACGAAAAGACGGCCATGGCGAACTACCGTTTGTGGGCGCACAAGCTCATTCCTGAGCACCTGAGCGGGATGAGATGAGCGATGGGGTGTGAGGGTCAGCCTCAAATGAATACATGTCAGTCACAATCAAAACCCGGTACTAAAATGAGCCAACCAGAACCATGTAAAGACCTAAAAAGGCGGCCTTTTGATTGTGGCTCATGTGGATGCACTCTACAAATCAATCCGGTGACACCAAACCTTGGGCCCCCAGCATGCTCCATCAGGCCTTGCCACACATTCTCCACTCCGAGCCCAAGGGAGACGCCGGCCGCGGCCGATAGCTCAGGTGCTGACTTGGCTCTCTTTTTTTTCAGCCAGCACTCCAACACCCACTCCAAGACACGTTTTCGTTTCGGGGACGTATACTAACAAAAAACAAAAACTTTGGCTGCAAGGAGCAACAACAAACGGTTGCTTCGCTCAGCGGCAGCGCGTTTGGGCTGCTAACCTTGCCCCTGGCCTATTCATTTGGGCTGCTACTGTGGAAGCCCTAAATATTGCGCAAGTTCTGCCACGTGGGATGCGGACACTGATTCTCTGGCACCGCTCACTGCGTGCGAACCCCTCTGCCCCTACAAGGTCGAAGCCAAGCACGTAACCCTTCTTCCCAGGCCCAAAATATTGCAAGTCCAACACTGTATTAGGCAATCTGTTGGCTTGCTTCGCACGTGCAATATTTAGGGCTTCGACCGTAACAGGTTGATCCTTTCGAACGTTTCGAGCATTTGGAGCGTTTCAAACGTTTGAAACATGTCAAACGTTTCAAACGTTTCAAGCATTTCGAATATGAACGTTCTTGGGTGACCTGAAACCTTGCTAAGGACTCAAGGAGCTTAAAGCTCGGCTAGGTTGAGCACTGAGCTAGCTTGGCAAGCCAGCTGCCAAGTGCTTAATCAGCACGGAGCAAAGCGGTTGAGGCAGTTTGCGGCCAAGTTTTGAGGGTTATCAAAGTCGCTAAGCAAGTAGCCCTGGCCAATGCGAGCGTTCAAAATGCAACAGCGCGCATCAAGTCGCAGTGTTTGCGTGTTCGCTGGACAGCAACATTTCTTGTGTGGCTTGGCAAACTGCATGAGCACCTTTTCGTGCGATGCTCCTGCCAATACTGCGCTTTCTCATCAGCGCCGCTGCCACTGAGACTTGCATCCCAGAGTGTCACGCTCCTGTTCTTTTCGAGCGCAAGAGCTTTTCAGCTTTCCACGCAAGGTTGCAAAATTGATCAACAATTGCTTCCAGAAACTGGCCATCCTTTCAGGTTGTTCGTGCCTTGGCTTCAGTAGCCGCCTTGCTCCTGGCCAGCGACTTCAATCAGATGTCAAGCATGGTCACCAGCTGGGAATGTCTCTTGACCATCTTGTGATATCGCTCATGGCAAAATACGAGGACAGAAACCACCATCCTTTGAGATGAGTGGGGAAGTGCAAGCCGCAATGGAACTTGCTGCGCATGACATTGGCCCAGGAGGTAGGCTTGTGTTCTTCCACGACGACCTGACATCTTTTCGGCAAACGCAATGCTCCAGACGGCCCAAACTGTGATGCAACACGCAGAGCTTTATTCGGTCTGAGATTCAAGAGCGCCGCTGCTGCGCAGCCTTGACGGAGGTTCTGCAACAGGTGACATCTGCTTCACACTTCACAAAGAGCTTCAACGCATGCAGTTTCGCAACTGAAGCGCTACTGGAGTTTGCCGCGCCAGAGGCTGTATTTTTCTCTTGAGGTAACACAGGCGGGCTTGCCTGCTGCTACTCACTGCAACCCTTGGACAACTTCTTAGCTAACCGCTGAGCTAGCCACTTGGCTGCATGGTTAGCAAGTGAGTTAAGCACTCATGTTGCGCAGGACGAAGTAAGCCAATGGCTCCATACCTGCTAAAGGGTCTGAAGCAGCGAATTTACTCGCTGAGGCTAGCGATTCGCAACGTGGGTGCAAGTGAGCCAAAACCATAGCCTACTTGGACTTGAAACAAATGCAGTTGTAAGTAAGATATCAAGTGTTGTGTGGTACTTGCGACTGACTCAAAAAGATAGCTACTAGGTGTTTTAGAAGCTATGTCACCACGAGCCTGGTCTCACCCAAGTTTCTATCGCGTCAAACGTCTCGAACATTTCGAACCAACGCTTCGAACATCTCGAACGTGTTGCACATTTCAAACACGTCTCACGCTTTGGACGTTGTCAAACAATTCGATCGTCTCGAACGTATCGAACGATTTCAAACGGTTCAAACGCTTCGAACGTTTCACGAACGTTGCTAGCATGTCGCACGTTTCGAATGCTACGAAAGCTTCGAACTGTTCGGGGCCCAAACAGGCCGGGGCCGGACTGTCTCACTCTGGTACCACGGCAAGAGGCAAGTCCATGCCCATTTCCCAATTTTCCACCATATTCTCGCCTCATGCAGTCTGCATTGCGTGAGAAGCTCAATCCGCGTGGGGCGGCCTTTTCAGATCGTTCCCATTGGCTCAAAACCCAAACACACTGCACATTTAGCTGGATGTGTCCAAAACTGTCAAAACATGAGTTGGTCTGCTTTTGGCTTCTTTTCAAAAGGCCGCCTCAACAGGGGGTCCTCCCCTTTCATTCAGGATTTTCCCGCTAGAAGAACAGACTGTTTGAACAAACTCTCTCCGCTGGGCAACCGCAGGTTCAACTCGATTGTTCCAGCGAAGCGCTTTAAAAGCTTCATGAAAAATGTGCGTCTGTGCAAACCGATCTTCACGGACTTCACAACACACAGCTGCAAAATCTGGCGGATTTAGGGCAAGGCAGGACACTGATCTTGGAGCTGTCTATATCTCTCTCTCTCTCTCTCTCTCTCTCTCTTGTTGGCATTCCGGTGTTGACGAAAATATGATATTCCTGGATCCAATGCCATGTGCCTTTGCCACTGCGTGGGTTCTTTTCTCCGCAGAACGGTAGACCTATGTCTTGGCTTTTTTCAAGGGTTGCTGAGGCCCTCTTAGGGACATGATTGAAGGCTGCAGGAAAGCGAACATTCAGACAAGTTCTCACATCTGTTTGCAATTTCCCGCGAAGTAAGCACGTGCCAAAGATTTGACCCGCAAGGAGAAAAGATCGCCAAGATTCTATCAGGCCACTTTGGCAGCTTGACCCGACTCAGTCGGGCACAATCCAGTAGGACTTACGCCAATCGCCATGCAAAACCGGGAGCCGCGGATCCTTCGTTCTGGCGCGTTCCGGCGCGACATTGCTATGTTCTTCTACCTTTGAATCGAATCGTCAAGTTGGGGAAGGCGTATGGCTAAGGCTAAGGCCAAAAGCTCAGGCCCGCGGCCCTGAGGGCGCCGAGCGAGATCGCGCTGAAGAGCGAAATCCGAGCGCATGGCAAGGGTTGTAATTTCACCTCCCGGCTGGAAACCACCTCGCGCCGCAAAAAAAAAAACAGCGGTTCCCAGGTCCGTGCAACTTCACCAATGGGTTATCCAACACGTTTCCAGCCCCATGCGCGTCACTTGGGCCCAACGGGCTCAAATGCTGAAGGCCTTGGTTCGGCTCGGCCTGGGCCATTGCTCAAAGGCGCGAGTGTGATTTGGTCCCCTCACTTCTCACAGAAAGAACCAGTGGTGTCCAAAGACCCGGGGGGTAAGCTACGACACAGAACAAGTCAAATAGCCTGAGAAAAAGTGAAAACTTTGGTATCTGCGCATATATGTTTTGTGTCTTTTAGCCTTTGCTCTCATTCAGTAACGAAATCAGATTGGAATTGCAACAAGGAACATATCAGCCACCCAAGCTGACCGGATTATTCCATGTTCAGACGAGAGAGTGTGTGCGTGTTTGCGCGTGCGTGTGCACTTCTCAAAGTGCATATCGGAATACCCGTCCGGGAGGAGGAAACACAACATGCACCTCTTTTTGGGAGAAAGGGAAACCAACTTTTTTTGTGAACACTCATCAGCCGCCCGGACCTCTGAGCTCGCGACGTGAGAACGCGCATAATGCATCGGAAGCCAACAAAACAACAGCAGATCAGTCAAACGAAACAGGGGCCCGCGAAGAGAAGCCTCGCCAAATGACCACGATATGCTGATTGGGCAAGCGGGCGCAAAAAAGAGACAGCTGAAACGGCGTCGCGCAGCTGCAAAAAAAATGGCAAAAAGGTGCTGAGCGTGATGGCGGCAAGCACCCAAAAAGCCGGAAAGACTCCAGGGAAACCCCGATCAAAACAAGCAAAACGCAGCGGCTGGTTGACTCTTACAACCCGCTTCGTTGGGAAGAATGTACTGGGCCCATTGCGACAATCAAAATGTCCGACTCTAGAAATACTGAAAACACAATCCACAGCCTAGTCGCACATGAGAAAACCTGACAGAAACAGATCCTTGTGATAGTGTGTTGCTAATATCAAGTTGCTTCCCAGAAACCAGAGCAAGACCTACGCCTTAGATCTGGCAATGGCGATGGTGAGATGTTTCTACCCTTGTGCGATTGAAAACGCTCAGCCGACGCCGCAGCACCTTGTCATGTTTCCTCCCTGACATCAAGCCATGCGGTGCGCCTTGGGGCAATACTTTGAAGTTCTGCCTGCGCCGGCCAAACGGCAATTGGGGTCCCAGGCCTTGCAAAACCTATCAGCTCCCATAGTTGTTGCAAAACGGTCGACCGCCCTCAAAAAGTCGTGATCAAAACCTGGTGAAGGCAGTGTACGCAAACAGTGAAACGGGTGTCTTCTATGCCGGGCTCATTTCGTGGCGGAACCGGGAGTGGGGATCCTGCTAGTCGCTGTCGCGGCCGGACCGCATATTATTTTGAGACTCACTTGCAAAGCAGTTGGACTGGCTTGCAAAGCCAACACGCTCGCGCAGATTGGCAGCACCCCTGCCTTCAAGTCCGACATGTGCGCTCTTGCCCGCCTCCAGCCGAGTGGGCAACAGTGAACTCGTCCAAATGTGTCCGAGTATCAAGGACCAAGCTCCTCGCATCCTACCTTTCAAAACGTCCAGCAGATGGCAAGAGAGGAAACTGCAGAGGGGGGGAGCTTGGAAAGAAGCGTTCAATCAAAGCCTTAGAGTCTGAGTGTTGTGTTCCGGGGTTACGCCATCCCTCTGTGTCTCATTGTTGTTTCCTTCTGGCCATTGCAAAGCCACAAGGCTCGCCAGATGGTCAGCTGAAGTCGACACCGCCAAAACCGGCTGCCTCCTTTCCACCAGCTTCTCCAGGCAGTCCGGCTTCCTCTCCACAATTTCCATGAAGCGCTCGAGAATCCGAACCTCGGATCCCACCAGCCAAGCGAG